TATACTCCCGTATGCACCTACAAGGCAGTAGGAACAGCTGCAGGTAGTACCATCTACTGTCATTATGGTAGCAGCACTAAGGCTGACCTGACATTAATTACAGCACTTGATTTTATTTTTAAATCAGTTTTCCAGATGGAAATACGAGGGCTGTCTCACAGAAAACCGGAATTTGGCTGTAATTTGAAAACTATTCAATATTTCCACATTCTGTAAATGCACACTTGTAAAACAAAAAGCACCATGAGCATAGCACAAACCAAATGAACACAGCAGTTCTCCAAAGATGGCTACCCCCTTGAAAACTTGGTCAAGGGTAGAAGTGAGTTCTGTCATTCGGTTTCTGACCGCAAAAGGTCTCAAACCTATAGAAATACACACTGAAATAAAGTCAGTTTATGGAGAAAAAGTGATGGCAAAGTCACAGGTATATGAGTGGTGTAGTAAGTCCAAAGCCGGGCATACGGATGTCAATGACAAAGTTCACCCACGACCTTGTTTTTCTGCCAAGACTGAGGACAACAAGAGTCATGTTAACAAACTCATTCAAACTGATAGGCGCTTAAAAATTCGCGAAATTTCTGAGTCGTTAAACACTTCAAAGTCGACTGTCCATAGGATGGTGTTTGACGAGCTACACTACATGTGTTGAAAGGTCTCTGCTCGAAGGATCCCAAAAGAGCTGACAGCTGACCACAAGACGCAACGAGTTGAAGATTCTCAGACTTTGTTGAATCGTTGTCGCCAAGCTGTCACGGGTGTCATTAACGCATCTGGAGACCTCCAACAATACGATGAAGCATTGCTGAGAAGCATTATTACAGGTGATGAGACTTGGATACACCATAAGACCCCTGAGACGAAGATGGATTCAATGGTTTGGAAGCACACGTCTTCACCTCCCCAGAAAAAGTTTAAAGTTCAGCCATCTGTGAAGAAACTCATGGCCACGGTTTTCTGGGATGCTAAAGGTGTTAAATGCTTCTTGACATTCTGGAACCAGGACAAACTGTTAAGGCTAACAGATACTTTCAGACTCTTGATAAGTTGAGAGAGGCTGGGTACCAAAAAAGACCAGGCCGGTTGTCCAGCGGGGTCTTTTTGCAGCATGACAACGCAACGCCACACACCACAAAAGACTGAATCCAAAGGTTCGGCTGGGAAGTTCTACCACACAACTCTCACAATCCTGACTTGGCCCCATCAGATTATCACCTTTTTGGACCAATGAAATGCCATATTTCTGGACAGCGATTCACCAACGACGAAGACCTCGTGGAAGCCATGAAAGATTGGTTGAAATCCCTTGACGAAAAATTCTTCAGGGAGGGTACCTTCTCCCTGATCCATCAATGGGAAAAATGCTTCCAGCGGGATGGTGATTACATTGAGAAATAAAGCACATATTGAGATATGATGTGTTACATCTTTATAATAAAAGGACAAAGACTGTTGCTTTTATGGACCTTTTCCGGTTTTCCATGGGAAAGCCTTCGTACATAATAATGGATCGGTAATATTTTACTTAAATCACTCCCATCTTATGCCCAGGTATACGTACGTGTAGCACTTTTCTGGTTCATCTTTATCAGTTTTACACAAATAGGACTTAATATCCATAGCTAAGTGTTAGACAGGAGGGAAAGAAGAATACCATGGCCATATGTGTAGGCCTATTCTTCAGCCAATTATTGTGGAGGTTTGACACCTAAACTAAATGCTGATCATCTGTGTGCAGGAGTGAAAGTTAAAATTTACCAAATTAGGCTAAAATAAAGTAAACCTAGTTTCAGTTTAATGAATTTGCATACAATACTATAAAATAGAGAAAAATTTAGTCTTCTCTGCAACAGCATATAAAGAGGCATTAATATAATGTAGTGACTACAGGGCGCTGTACAGTGGCGACCGACAGTGGCATTGTTAGTAAACTGTTCTGTATTTGTGTAATAGTGTGTATTTATGTATGTATTTATGTATGTATTTATGCATGTATGTATTTACGTATGTACGCATTTATAATTATGTATCTATGTATGTATGTTTGCCATTGTAAAACAAAGTGCCCTTCTGGGACAAATAAAAGTGTAATTTTTAATTTTTTAAAAATTATTATGTTCAAGGCGCTGTGAATGGAGTTTGCAGGCTATATTCACCGCGTCCTGAATCATTCACCATTTGCACAGAGGCATGACAGAAATGCTATGGTCGCTCAAAGTGAATGAGGAAACAGCACAGGAATGCTGAAAAATAATGCAGCGGTGGTCCGAATGCAACAGAGTTTACGGAAGAAGAAGGCAGGCACAGCAAAACAGCCGCGGTTGATGACAAGGCCTTGCTCGCTCAGCAGGTGGAACACGATTTTGATCCTCTTCCCGTGTGTGGACCCGGCAACGCTCAACAATTCGAAAACAAAAGTCATTCGAAGAAACAAGGGAGAATGAAGGTCAAGGCAGGAAGAGGGGTGGGAGGGGGTGAAAAAAAGAAGGGAAAAGGGTAGGGGGTGAAGTGAGCAAAATCATTTTTAAATTGCAAACTACATTCAGTATTCAGGGCACTGTGAACATAGCCTGCAAACTACGTTCATGGTGCCGTGAACATAGCCACTGCATGTACAAATATAAAATACACTTCTCTTACTAGATCTAGAACAAATCTAGATCTTGATCTAGATTTAGACTAGATATAGATCTAGATTTTATCTAGATATCTAGAATCTAGACAGAAGAACCTAGGGCGATTTTGTAGTTTCGTTCTTTAAAGTCCAAAGCTGAACGCCAAAGACCCTGAATTGCCAGATAATCGATGGGGAGAAAATCAAAATTCAAGCAAAGAATGGCCCTTTTTCGGCAGTTCCCACCCTCAATTATTATTCGCCGGTTTGGGCCCCAAGAGTCAAGAGAAGGGGGGTTTCAGGGGGACCTAATTTTATATGGAAAGAGATGGGGGGTGTCCCCCCTGAATTATACCATATATTTGATGTTTTCAGTTAGGTTGCATCCCTGTTCTTTGTGTTGCCTATTTGGTCATCAAGACTTCCGGCTTCCGGATTTCTTCTCTGGATGTAAACAAATGGGTGGTGGACTTAAACGAACGGAACTAAAGACACAAGATCACCAAACCTAGATCTAGATCTCTACTCTTGATCTACTAGACTACTCTCAGAATCTTTACTAGATCTAGATTTAGACTAGATCTAGATCTAGATTCTAGTCAAGTAAAATGTCAGACGTGTCTTTAATTCCATTCATTCATTCATTCATTCACATGAGAATCAAATATAATCTATAGAAATTCATATTAGTAAAATAACCGACGGTAGACCCTGCCTGTAGTGCCCTGTGAAATGTGTACCAATGAATGTGTACCCAGTAGACCAGCAGAGAAAGGAAGCAGAGGAAGATGTTGGAACTTGTATGTTCTGGTTTCTTCTACAAAGTAATTTGGTTTACTAACCTTTGTCACTGGAAAACTTTAAGTGCAACAATGCAAGTGCACAATATTCATTGTCATAGTCATAGTTTTTCTTGCCCTTGCAACGCTTTGGGCTTGGACTAAGGACTTAGGCAGGTATTGAATGATATCTACAACAAATCAGTCCGTTTTCGATTTCTGAAAAGAAGAGCTCAATTCAAAAAGGCATTACACGGGGGCGGTTGGATGGGTAGCAGTGTTCGCACTAAGAAAATAAAAAATGAAAACACGAAATGGTGAGTCTCGGAGAATTGTAAATAATTTTATATTAAATTATTGGAATGTTATATAAGCGGCATTATTACCATTTATGAGCTGATTCAACTTGCAGAGGACAAAGGGATGTATCGAGTGTCCTGTGATCTAGGTGATCTTGTAGTTCCATCCGTTAAAGTCCACGATCCATTTGTTTATATCCAGAGACGAAATCCAGAAGGCTTGACGTAAGGGTGAGGAGTGTTGATTAGCGGGCGGTAGCAGGCTGTAGGAAAGTAGTATTTGGCCTAGGCTGTATACAGTTAAAGTTTAGATTGACTGGAAGTACAGCCAGGATGGGGAAATTTAACCTCTGCAACCCTGGTAGATGAATTGGGAGGACTTCTGTAAGAGCGACCACTCTGAGACAGAGAAGAATAGAGGGGTTTGGGTTAGGGTTAGGTCTCTTCTTATTGTGTTTGTTGGGTAGTAGACTATATCGCTGGTTATGGAAGTCCTTCCAGTGAATCAGTGATCAATTATTAATAAAGGCTTTAGACCCTGCTGAGGAAAGGCAGGGTTTTATCGGTAGAGTCCATCTCAGAAGACCCTTATTATTTTAAACTTTATAGTTAGTTTTTAGCCTATATAATATATATATATATCATTGAGATTCATTGTCTGCTGATCTGCGGAAATGCGCAGTTTTGCAGGCAGAAAAAATATTTCTACAATTATCATTGGCTGAATTATCATAATTTGATGTTTTGCAGTTGTTAGGTTTGATCTTAGCTTCGCCGTGCATCAAATCAAACATATAAATCTCGATGTAGATCTAGGAGGCTCAAATGAGGGGGGTGGGAACTCTACCGCTGAAAAAGAACCGAAATACTGACGTTCAAAGGATGGTGTTTGCTTTTTAAAGAGATACAATCTAGCACACACTGTTCCCGAATTTTTTCGTACATGATTGCCTGAAATTTGTACGCGATTGAGCCTGAAGGAATGAGAACTGGTAACTTGTGAGGGAAGTAATGCAGCTGTTAGGATTAAAAATGCGTGTGAAAACAATTTGATCATTTTTTCTGTTTCGTTCTCTAGCTTTGTCAGAAAGTCACTTGAAATAAATAGTGTAAATCAAGAGATGTAGATTCTCTAGTACATCTCTAGTGGAAGACCTTCCGATCACATGTCTATATCTATCATTTCCCTCACTCCCTAGCTTGTGCTCTCTTTCTCTTTCTTTCTCTCTCTCTCTCTCTCTCTCTCTCTCTCTCTCTCTCTCCCTTTCTGCTGTTTGCAACCATAATAGATAATGTTTTCATAAATTTCAGGTGTGGCAATGGAGAGCAAGAGTTTCATAAGAGATGGATTGAAATTAAAAAGCACCTCAATATTGTTCCTTTTGCTGAGCATAACCCAGATGACATTATTGACTGCTGGTCATTATAAGCCCACATGGGAGTCGCTGGACTCCCGTCCTTTACCACAATGGTATGATGACGCAAAGCTCGGCATTTTTGTGCATTGGGGTGTCTTCTCAGTTCCAAGCTTTTCCTTGAGTTCCGAAGAGTTTTCTTCAGAGTGGTTTTGGTATGACTGGAAAGGTTGGAGGTATCCTGGAGTTGTCAATTTTATGAGGAAGAACTATCGCCCAGATTTCACATATGCAGACTTCGCAAAAGCGTTTACGGCAGAATTCTTTAATGCTAATGAATGGGCGAAACTTTTCCAGAGGTCTGGTGCAAGGTAGGTGTTTTTGTCATTATATCTACCAGAATGTGCAATAATCTTAGTCGCAGATTGTATAAAGTTCATTTTGCTCTCTTGTAATTTTGTTTAGTTTTGTGATATTGTTGAATTAATCTTGTCAAACAATGGAATATTCCCATGTTGCTGTTAGCTTGTTCATTATTAGCTTTTACGCCTAGGCAAGTTTATTGATATTTTTATCCAACTTTATGTCCCCCTTTTTTTTACAGTAACGGGGGAAAATGGAATGAAGATGGAGACCATTGTTTGCTTTTTAAAAAGAAGCCTGACTTAATAAGTTTCAGTCTTTGCCTGGTATTAATATAAGTTAGGGTAATTAAGATCACATGAATGAATTCTTTAGTCATACCCATGAAACTTTCCTTTAGCTAAAGCTTGAAAAATCAGCAGAATTAGAAAGTTATCTCTTTACTTATTTCATTTTGTTTTCAGGTACCTTGTGTTTGTAGCAAAGCATCATGAAGGATTCAATAACTGGGACTCCAAGTATTCATTCAACTGGAATTCTGTGGATGTTGGCCCCAAAAGAGATATTGTTGGTAAATAATTCATCAAATTGAAATATTTGTAAGTCACTTTCTAATCTAAGAATATCACTGTGAGCTGGCTGTGAAATTTATACAATTACTGCTGTTCCAAGAAAATTTGAAGGAAGATTAATTTTTTTTCGGGTTTCTTCTTTTTGTTACCTCCACTTTTAGATCTCATATTTCCATTTATTTTTTACCATTTTTTGTAAAACTAAAACTTGGCCATTCATTGAGTAATACACATTTAGTTTCCGGAGGTCTTATCACATTTCCACTTGAGTTGCTTCCCTAAGCAGACACACCCACCTGGGCTGACAACCACAAATTTAGGTAGCCTACTCATACTAAAACTGCAATAACTTTCCCTCCAAACAGCTGCAAAATTAGCGGACAATAACCGTACGGAAGTGCAAAAACTCTAACTCTAGTCTGAAGTAGTATTTTTTTCTACTTGGAAATAATGGACTGGAGAAAAATTTATAGAGACAAAGAGATTGTTTCGTAGTCAGTAGGCTGCCTAGATACAAGTATAGTCGTAGGCCCTCAGCAATGAGTACGGAAAGCTCGAATTCGTCGGAACAGGCCTCGATAGTTCAAGGGGTCTGTAATTCGAGGGATATCTTACAAAGATTTTAAAATTTTTAAAACAGGACCGCAGGCACAGTTCAAGGGATGCTTGATTTAGAGTTTTCTGTGTTCAACCGATCCGTGTTATACTGTATACCCATATTTTAGCCTCTCATAGATCTCTTATTTCCCATTTTCTTGTTTAGTATTCTTTTATTTGTTAAAAATAGACTTTAATTATCGTTCCGACTTTTTTTTGTTTTGAACTTGATGAAGATATATATGTACAAATTTTCAAAGTGTAATCTATATAGGTCATTGTCCCTGTCTTGTATGAAATATGTCTTTGTACCTTTGCTTTATGACATCCCCCACGTTCCTACTCACCATTTTTGTATTTCTTGCTTCTTTTTGTTTCTGTTACTTTTATTTATGATACCATTTTCTAAAATATCTAATTTCATAGGAGAGTTGATGAATGCGACACGAAGTCAGACTGATTTAAAGTTTGGAATCTACCACTCTCTATACGAATGGTTCAACCCATTGTACATGAGAGATAAAAGCCACCTTTTTCTCACCCAAGACTTTGTCGAAGTAAGTCTTTTTGTTAAACCTTTTGTAAAGAGGGATTTTTTCTAAGTGTAGACTGAGTTAATTTTTGACATTCATTATATTATGCTGGAAGTGTCATTGTTGGTAAAGATGGAACCGAGGCAGATGTTAAAGCTAGAACCACCAAGGCAAGGTCAGCATTCAATCAATTATCAAAAGTCTGGAAAGCAAGCAACATCTCACTTCGCTACAAGATTCGACTCTTTAACTCCAACGTCTATGCTGCTCAACAGCTGCGAAACTTGGAAGACAACAAAGACAGCACTGAATAAAGTCCAGACTTTCATCAACTGATGTATGAGGAGTATTTTCTCAGAATTAAGTGGCAGGATAGAAAAAGAAATGAAAAGCTGTGGGAAAGGACAGGACAAAAGGATGTAGAAGTAGAAATAGGACTAAGAAAGGGGCGATGGATAGGACACACCTTAAGAAAACCCTGTGGAAACATCACAAGCAGACAGTCACTGCAGGGAACCCACAGGGAGCACGAGGTAGGGGTAGGCCACGGGAAACTTGGAGGAGATGTTTGGAAAGGGACATGAGAGAGATGAAGCTCACTTTGAATGAGCTGGGAAGGATGGCTCAGGACAGAGATTAATGGAAGGAGCTGGTATGTGGCCTATACCCAGGGGAGAAAGACATTGATGATGATGATGAGGATGATGATATATTATGTTATTATGGTAATTTAATTTGTAAAGACTTCCTAGGAAGCATACAGTGGAAGCTGATATTTTGCTATCTGTTGTCGGGTACCCATTCACACCTGGTTGAACTGAAGGAAATTAATATGAAGTGCTATTCCCAAGGACACAACATCAGGCCTGAGGCTTGAACCTCCAAACGGGCATAATTACAAGTCCAGTAGCCTAACCATTAGACTATTACTTAATGTTCTCATGGAATGTGTAGAAAACTCTAAGAAAACCCAGGTATGCACACTCATTTCAAAATGTCTGTTAAGAAAGCAGATAGAATTAAAAATATGTGAGAAATTGTGCTAGTTTCTCTAAAAAAATATGGCAGGTAAGAACGATGCCAATCTTAGCGAGTTACTAACTAGAGGCCAATCAGTTCTTGGCTTAAATCAATAAAGTTATTGGGTAGAAAAAAATAGTGATTAATTTTGACATCAGAATCTTCAATTAAAAAACTCATGTTCTAAGCAGTTTGATGTTTAATTCCCGTCCGTTTCAAGTGATACAGTCTTTTTTTACTCTTGTTTAATGGGCTCTCTGGTCTAATTGATAAATGAAAAAATAAAACAGCCGTGCAATATTTGTTTCTTACTTGTGTGCACACATTAAAAGCATATGACATCGAATACGAAGAATGTCACAATCAACAAAAACTGCCTGTTGAGCCATTGCTGGCTGCTCCTGTACTGCTTTCTGTGCTTGAACTAGAGAGAATTTTTGTTGGTGGTAAGAGGGTGCCACACTGGTAGGTCATATTTCTGTTCTTTTTCCAATCTGTCTATGTTTCTTTTCCCTTCACTTCACAGCTATTATGATGTAGATTCTAGGCACTTCTCATTACTCGAACAAACAAGAGAATGCTTACAACCGAGGAAGTTCTTGTTGCTGACAACCAAATAAACTTTGTCACTTCCCAGCAAAAAACTCTTCCTGAGCTCTATGAACTTGTGAATAAGTACAAGCCGGAGATTGTGTGGTCTGACGGAGACAGCGAGGCTCCGGATGTCTATTGGAAGTCCCGCGAGTTCTTGGCCTGGCTGTACAACAGCAGGTGAGTAAGTCTCACATTCCATTAAGGTTGTTTTTTTACTTACTGGTTGTTAACTCATTCGCTACGCCGAGCCGTGAGGGGAGGCGCGGCTAAAGTGCCGTCCGTACGCTAAGCCGCCCCCGACGGCTCGACAACCGATCTTCAGTTTTAGCTTAGATTCTATTCCAATCCACATATCCATGTTAAAATAAAGGTCATAATATAATATTGACTTGCGGGACAAGCGTTTCCACCGCAATTCGGAAGTTTTGATTCAGTTTTGAAACACAATTTCGAAGTTTATGCGACTTTGTTTTATCGCGATGCTCAAATTATAGCCCAGACCCCAGTATTACTACTTTTCCACAACAAAATATTTAATTATTTTGCCCACTAAAGAAATGTAGGACTCTTCTTTAGAATATTGAGACACAATTGGGCTCAAATTGCCATTGCTCTATTTTTTTGAGGAATCAATATTTTTCAGGGTCAAATTATTTTTTCTCCCAAAAATCACTATTTTTGGGGGTGAAATTACACAAAAAGTACCACTCAGGACATGTTTAGGTTTATTCCAAATGCAATTCTGAATAATTCCATATACGATACAAGTGTTTTTTTCTGTTTGTGAATGCATCTTGTCCTTTTTTCAAGATAATAAAATTTGGGGGGGGGGGTTCAGTATCCGATGTCACGATCCAAATTTGCAAATTTTATGGAATGTATATAAATAACTGCAAATTTTTCTATATTTTCCAGTTTTATATTAATCTATGGTTATTTTGATGTATCATTTGAACTAGGTGCAAACATATTTTTTTAGTTTCACCGAAGATGATTAATTTTTTTTTTTCAAATTTTATCCTCATCCAAGCAAAAATGCGTTGCATAATCGCCTCTTACAGGAACCAAAGTTGAAAAATGAACCTATAAACATTACAGATGTATTCTACAAATCATACTGAAAATTTCGGTGTATAATATGTTAATATTTATTTGAATTTGTGGCCCCAAAGACCTTTGAAATGCGCACTAGTCATCATCTCATTTCGCCTTTGTGAAAAAAATTCTTCCACAAGCCGAAAATAATACTTAGCGAATGAGTTAAGCTGTGACTAATCTGTGTCTAGAAATGTGTTAGAGACAGTGAGCAGAGTAAACCACCCTTTATTATAATTGTTAACTCGTAACCTTGCTCATAAGTTAAACTTCATTGTTGCCAGCGGGTGTACGTTCCAACTGTGATCACTAATTTTTTGCTAAGCTCGTCAGCCTCTGCCTGGTTTTGGCCCAGTCTTGACCTATTAGGACCTAAGTCTTCACAGTGTCACTTTCCTCACCCTTCTCATCCCCACATTCCCAGTCTTCCTTATGATTTCGAACAACTCTCAAATCTTAGTCAAAAATTGAAATTAGATGTCTTTTTAGTCATTTTGGTATTTACATTTTGCTGGAGCACGCTTTCATCTGCAAGACTAGGCCTATGTGTATAGATCTAGTGCTTGCAGGCCTTTCAATAAATTACTATAAGCAAATTTAGTTTGAGATCTGTTCTAACAGCCAAAGAACCTGTTCACACTTCCCCTTTGCATCATTTTCTATTATAATGACTCTGTCAAAGATATCCGCCTGTCTAAGACAACCATTTTTCTCCTTGACAATAGGTGCTTTGTCTTGGACAATTTTGACTGTACTCTTCTTTTGAAATTTACTTATTCTGAGTCTGGGATCTTATTTACTTCAAGAAGAATGAAGGCAAATGATGAACATGTGCAGTACAACTTCTAAAAGAAAAACTGTTAGTGGGTGCGGTTAGCAAGTACTCTGGTGTGGCTTGCTCTTTCTTTCCTTTAAAACATCTATCATCCTGTTTTCTCCTCCGTCTTTTAAAAATCTTTTTTACTCTCATGTGATACATCTATGTTCAGCACTTATATGACCTAATTGTGTTGCAAGTGCCGTAAAACTCTTAATAAAACATAAACAAAAAGCCTTATCATCGTACTTTCCATTGTGTCCAGCCCTGTCAAGGATACTGTTGTTGTCAATGATCGCTGGGGGTCCAACATCGGCTGTCATCATGGAGGATTTTACACCTGTGGAGACCGTTTTGATCCAGGTACTTACAAACATTCCATGGGACTGAACAGTTAGAGTTGCATGAGTCACTTCTATAAATAATTGTATTATGCGATGCTTTTTTGTGTGAGAGCACCCAATGCATTTTACAAGGATTATCTCACAATTTTACACACTTGTTATGCATTGACATTTTTTTTTTAAAGGGTTGTGCTATTATACTGAAAACTAATCTAAATCCAATGAGGAAGAAATTTGTCTTTGTGTTGTGTCATAGTATTAAAATTTTCGGTTACCATTTGTATCATGTGAAGGATCCAGTTTTTAAATGATTTTTGAGGTAACAAGCCATTGTTTGTACACAAAGGTACAAATGTGCACTTTCTTTATTATGATTATAGTCTTTGACTTTGCAAAGTTAGGAGAGAATGCCATTTAATTCCTCTGTGGTTCAAATTGTTTTCTCACTCTCAGCTTTTAATGAACATGTCTAAAGATGATTTTCCTTTTCTTAATGTAGAAAGATAGTCATATTATGTCCCTTATTAGATGTTCATTGGGCAATAATCTGTACCAACATTAAAAAACATTATATTTTTGCTATTTACAATCGATATTATGTGGCCCTTTAATGGGCTAGCTGTTGGCTCAGTTCCTAATGCAATGTTTGTGGGATTGTTTGTAGCTTAAGAAAAGTGCAATAGCTTTCATATATTTGTAGTTGATGTAATTAACTGTATACAATTATGAGTAAATAGAGGTATACTCATTATGCAAAGTTTCTGCACTATTTGGGATTCCTTTCACTCACGCAATTTCAATTTTAAAACAAATTTCCCTAAAGGGAAAAACTTTGTTGTCTCTTCTCTTTGTACGTAATTTTATGCATATTTCTAACTTTTTTTTTTTACTTGTGTTGTGACACAACAACTTATCAGCAGGAAATTATACATCATATAGGGAACTTCTCTTTTTCCCACCATAGGGGTCCTCCTTGCTCATAAATGGGAGAATGCAATGACTATAGATGGACATTCATGGGGCTTCCGGCGAAATGCTGACCTCTCTGATTATCTGAGCATCGAAGAGCTGCTTCAAACCTTTGTGAAAACCATCAGGTGAAGCGTTTTGTTAATTATCGTGAGAAATTGTGATTGTGCATAGTACTCATAATGTACAGGTTCATAAATTTATCTCCAGGGAAGGATTGAGAGGTTCAGACTTTATAGTTTGGGACTTGATAGGTAGATCCTATGTTTCTGTCATAGCAGATTCAACATTAATTTACATGAAAGGTGTAATGATATGGGACATAATCCATAATTCACCACAGTTGCTTGTACATCATATTACCAGTTGATTCCCTTTCAGTGTAAACACTCCATGAGCAGTTCTAACATTGTCTTGTCAAGCACCTTACGTGTGTACTGATAGTTTCCCTTTGTTGTCATAGTCATAGCATTGAGCTCTATAATAGTATATATACACTCATCAGCTTGGAATTGAATATTGATACAGTCTAGCATTCACATAGCAAACAGATTTTCATATCCTGAGGTTTTTTTCTTATACATGATGTATAATCTCTACACAGGGAAACTCGGATTCACCAAGCTTGGATTCAATGAAAACTTTGATTCGCCTGAAAAAGAATTCCTTTTTTTTTTAAATTCATAAAAATCAACAAAATACCATGTTTAGCAAACACATCAATGAGCAAACTGGGATTCAATTAATTCACTCATGATGCAATGAGCCCATGCTGATGAGTCTTCATGAATGTTTCTCTCATAATAATACTTCTCTTGTCTATTCCAAGGGGTTGTTGATTACTCTGCATTGTAGATCATTACACAGGTAAACCTGCTGCATATCACACACTGTATATTATGATTTACCTATCAGAGACACACAGCCATTGTATGCAAACCAATCAGAGGCCTTCTTCCATATCAACATATGCATTGCTAATGTGTGCAAGATACTTGTGTCTTCTAGGCTTATTGTGTGCTGAGGTCAAGAGAGGTCGGATTGGCGGCCAGCACACGTGACTGTGCGCACATCTGTCTGAGGAGGGTGGGGGACTTGTAAGCGTTCGCAGAATGGAAACTCAGCAGGGGTGCAGATGCATCTTAGTCATATTTTTACCCCAGCTACTGAACAGTGAGGCTAGACTTAGATCCACAAAATAAGTTGCACACAGGTATCTGTGGAACCACACTTTGCCATATATGCTAAGACTAGCTGGCCTGAGTCTCACACTGCTATGCAACTCATTTTTCAAACAATGTGCATGTTTGAATTAATCAGATTTTTGACACAGCATGCATTTTGACAGAGTCTAGTGTAATTTGTAATGACACTTAAATTTTCTGTAGCATTATAATAATTTCTAAACCTATAACTTGGATTCAACAAACTTGGAGGTCAGGCCAGGGGACTTCATCAGAAGCGAGTTTCTTGTTTACTTGTTTGAAGGACCGACATCACTGCACAAAGGGCATTCCCATAAGCACTCTGTCCCCTGAAGAAGCACATCTCGAAGTGTATAGATGCTGACGGTTCCAAGCAATGGTTGATTCCATAGCCTTCTGCTCCTGCCACTAAGTCTTGAACTTCTGCAGGCGCCCCATCCAATTTCAAGCTCACGAAGTCACTCAAGATGGTGGTATTCCGACTCTTCTTGTTCTTTTTCTCGTTTTTCCCTGACTGAGCGTACAATTTCAGGTTTGTCAGGGCACAGCTTCCCTTCTGGTTTTGCTTTCCCAGCGAACTCATCAGCCCGCTCATTGCCCATGACTCCAGCATGGCCTGGGGTGAAGATCAAGGTGATCTTTTTCAATGAATTTCAAGCGAGTTTCACTTTATTTAAAACACACATGTAGCAAAATTTGTATTATAAAGAAAAGATTTTCGTCTCAACAAGTATGGTATGTGTGTGCAAGACTGTATATTACATCTCTCTAATCTTCTTTTTGTGTCTATTTTATTTCTTCAGTTGCGGTGGCAATATGCTTATGAATGTGGGTCCCCCTCACCACGGTCATATCACTCCGATATACGAGGAGCGGCTGAGACAGATGGGGTCATGGCTCAAGGTCAATGGAGAGGCCGTGTATGCTTCACGTACTTGGAACTACCAGAATGACACAGAGACGCCCAGCGTTTGGTATGTGGCTGTTACAAAAAATTTTCTTTCTTCTTGGTCTTGTATTTTTGAACCACTTTTTGAAGTTTCAGTTGAATGATGGTTAGAAGGGGCTACTTGTAAGTCTTACTTTTTTTTCTTTCCCTCTATCATTTCTGTCTCTCTTTCTCCACCCCCCCCCCCCCCCCCCCCCCCCTTATTTAGATATGTTTCTTATCCTTTCTTTTGATTTGAGCATTTTAATATCCACTGTTGGCTTGCTAGGTCTGTCAAAGCTTCACTAGAGCCCCTCTAATTGTGCAGTGTAAGGTGACCAGGGATGGCCTTCATGGCTACCCCAGCAGCCTCGTGGGCAAGCCCACACCATACTTCACCCTATTGTTCATTCGCGCTTGGACAACTCAGTGAAAATGCATTAAATTATGATCAAGAATCTAACACTATCTTTGTGGACCAAGAAAAGACCCTCAACTGAGTAGATCGAGACAACCTGTGGACAGTGCTGAAAGAATACGAAATCAGAAGACAACTTCTGGACAATGTCATGTCATTATCTGAAAACAACAAAACAACTGTAAAGACACCACATGGAAAAACACAATGGTTCCGAGTTTGATCAGGAGTAAACAAGGATTACACTATCCCCTTAACTATTTGTAACGTAAATGGAGAAGCTAAAACCCGAAAATAAAACAGTCATCAAGCTTCATTTTTACTGATGATCAGAGCATACTAAGGGACACTGAGAAGACCCTTCAAGTAAGCTGACATATTAAATACCAATAAAAATTCTAATTATTCAAAGTAACTTGATAATCACATCAGCTAAGTAAACTTGTTGTTGTATGATACCCTTTTTTTTTCTTTCTTCTTTTCAGGTACACAAAGAAAACCTATGCCCAGAACACAGATATCTATGCCTTTGTCTTCCATTTGCCAGAATGGGGTACGCTTGCTCTGGGAGCTCCTACCGTGTCAAAAAAGACTCAAGTCACTCTACTAGGACATAATATGCCCCTCAGTTTTCGGCCTGCACCATCCCAAGGCTTGGATATATTTATTCCTCCTCTCAGCATTTCTCAGATACCTTGTAAATGGTTATGGGTGTTCAAGATCACTGCTGTGACAAATTGATTTTGTGATTCTCCCAAGCTTTAGATTGATCTATATAGCCTATATTGCGTTGAGGGGGTGCGACAAATTTGCAACACAGTGCTTTAAAGCAGGTTTGGTACAGGAGAGGAAATTTTGCAATGATTAAGAGCATTGTTCCATTTTTTAAGTCACAGTCATCTCAACTTGTGTGTATCCTGGTAGATGAAGCACCTCTAATTGCATTCCACGAAATTTATAATTTATCCATAAAAATAGCCTGTCTTTCTGCCTGTTATAAACTTGTTGCAGGAGTTTCCTTTATGACTACACATTCTTGTGTGTACTTTTCCACATGTAAACACAATATATTAATGTGTCATATTAGTGAGTGTGTTGAAGGACATCTATTGTGAGACACAGTATTCACACTCTTTGCTCTACCTGTGGGTAGTCTAATGATTAGGCTACCGGTCTCATAATCGTGAAGTTGCGAGTTCAGGGATTGGAGGCTTAGGCCCGACTTTGTGTCGTTGGGAAAGTACTTTACTCAAATTTACCTCACTTCACCCAGGTGGGAATGGCTACCCGGCCAAAGACAGCAAAAGATGTTGTCTGTTTGCTAGTGTTTTAGAGCCTGTAAAATGGTAGCTTGCACTGTATGCTTCCCTGGAAATTGAGATTGTTTCAGAATGTTATCAGTTGTATCAGATCTTCTGGAATAATAATAATTAAGGTTGTAAAGCACATTAATAGAGTTTGCTATTTTGAGCTTGAATTTGCACTTTACAAATGCTGTTTATTATTATCGTTGTTATTGCTCTCAAAGAACATATCGTAAATAATTTGAATCCCAGGTGGAAAAGAGATCTGTCTTTCCAATTTTCTAATGATAAGTGATATCCCTTAATGGCAAACTCAGTTTGGTCCCAATCAGCAGGGTTAAAGCATCTTGCTTCGTAAATTACCCAAATTGCATTGAAGAGGGGAGAAATGTAAAAATCTACAATCAAACGAGTATCGATGCTTTAGTTTTCCTAATTTTGTTTGAAAGTGCTTTGCGCACTATGTGTATATAGTCCATTGCATGTATCATTATTATGACTGTTGTCCTCACAAAAGATAAGATCCCAGTGCCTTGTAATGCTCACAATATATTTTTTAGAAAAATAGTTCTCAGGGAAACCAGGATGATAGGCTTTGGAATCTTAGAGATATGCCATTGTACTTACATGAAGAAATGCCGTGATCATTATCATCATAATACCATCTAAATCATTATTAATATGATTACAATTGTCTATTATTAATATAATTACTATACTTATCAGCCTGTTGCACCCTTTTTCTGCCCCGCTTGCATAGCCCATTTCTAAGTAATTCTGTTCATTTAAAAAAAATTTCCTGAGTGTCTGTTCTTTTCAGAATTCAGAAGTCTGATTTTTTTCAATTGTTTTCTCATATTCTACTTGCCAGCATTTTTCATCTCTGAAGTTATAAAGTTAAAGCATGGCAACTGAAACTGGTCATGACTATGTCCTGTTATTTGAATTAGACATATTTCTCCTAATGTGTCTCTTACTGAAGCAGAATCACTTTCATCATGTTGCAACCCTTTTTCTTCCTCTCCATCATAACCCATCTGTGCTAGTAATTATTTTCTTTTTCTTTTTCCTGCTAAAGATAACCAAACTATCTAATGTTCCCTTCAGACCCAAAGAATTAATAGTACCAGTTTAGGCATGGATGTTAGTGTTAACTGTTATTGAATGCTGGGCAAACCTAAGGGACCGTTGGGGGCTCTCGTGGCCTAGAGGTTAAGGTGTTCGCCTCTCATTCAAAGGTCCCAGGTTCGAATCCGGGTTTTGACAGAAAAATTTTCTTCTCTAAAGTTGTCTCCTTTCACCTCCTTTCCTGCTCTCTAGCCATATTCTGTCGTCTGCTTTCGTTTCCACTTTCTGCCCCACCCCTCACACCTTTGGCCGCCTCCTTGGGCTCCTGACTCTTTCTGTAGCCTTTCTACTGCTTCTCCTTGGCTCCTTCTTACTGCTTTCTTTCAACCACACCCTTGATCTTCTGGTAAGAAAGATCTACCCCTAGGCTTCTCGGACAAGGGTGAAAAATTTCGGAGGGCCCATGTGCAAGTTGCGCACGTTAAAGATCCCTTGATGGTCTAAAATTGATAAGAGTAGGCTTCGGCCGCCACCCGGGCAAAATTTTTTAATGTCCTACCCACTGAAAATGTTAGGTGTGTCCCGCACGCTCATATGGCTCACATGACCTTTTGCAGTTGCGAGCCCCGTAAAACACTTACCAAAAAGAAAAAAAACAACATAAAGGACCGTTCACAAATGACGTCAGCTAAAATTTAG